ATACGTCGAAAACAGTCAAAGGGTTAATGCATGTATTAGCATAGACTTTGTAAATATTTTTTGAAATCGGCACTTAAAATGGGCACAGAGCAATGTTACAAGTCCTGTATTTTACTCTGCAATCTTACAAAATTACAGAGCAAAACTATTATTACTGCTACTTTAAGCCTAATTTCAAGCTATTTTTGGACCTGAAACCAACTAAAATCTTTTACATTTCAGAATGCTTTTCATTCTAAAATATCTATCAAATACAACAGGCAGTAAAACCATAAAAACCATCCTAGAAAGCTATTCTAACCCATTCAGGGTCCAGAGGCCAAATTTCAAAGTGTGCACCAGGGTCCAAGAATTATCAAAAAATAATTTTTTTTTCTTATGAAATGGTAGAGAATCTTTCTGAAGGTAATAAAACAAAAAGTACGAAATTTGATGGAAAATTTACGAAATTATACTCTCGCAAATTTTGATGTTTCAGAGATATTTACACATCGGCGATTTTTCTGACTGACTCCCATTTTAGGCCAATTACAGTATTCCAGTCAACCAAATTCTTAGCTATTTCACTAGTATTACTTCTATCGACTGAGCACAAGAAATCGCCAAGTCAACTGTTTCAACAAAATAAAGTGACTGGAAATTGGTCATTTAGCCAATTTAATGTAAAGTTCAAAATATTCCCATTTCAAAAGAGGGTCCAGAATAAACAATGCAGGCATTCCTGGCACTAAACTAACATTTCTTCTGTTCATTAGTTACATTTTCAGGCTTTACAAATGAATTCCATTTTGATTTTTTATTCAATGAATTTTTATTCAAACCAAAAAAAAGATTTACTGTTATGCAATACTGTAATAATTGTATAAATAATATCACCACATTTGTGAATGTATATTAGACCCACCAGCTGTCATGCATTAGACTTGCAAGGTCATTTGTTTACTCTTGAACATAGGCAAAAATTTAACATTTCTGTTACATTGAGCTTAGTTTCAAGCCATTTCCAGTACTAAAACCAATCAAAATCAAATCTATTTCTGTAGTATATCTTCTATTCTATCAAGCGAGACCAAGAAATTGCAAATACAACTATAAAAAAAATACAAAAACACACTGCAAAGTCGCTGTTTTAATCTAAAATTACGGTCTTAGTTTTTTCTCTCATTATGCACTGTGTGCTGCAGGATTTGTTTTATGTGGTGCACACATACCACATATGTATTCTCTCATATCTAGGTCAAAATTTACTGCTCACAGCTTATCAGAGCGAGCTGAGCTCATGGCGTACATCTACAGTTTGGACCCTGAACGTAAAGCCATAGATCTACGGCACGGACCCTGAAAGGGTTAAACCAAACACATGGTCAGTTTTATTTATCTCATCCCCCAACATGAGGAAAGATTTTTGTCATACTGTGCACTCACCATGCAGACCCATTCTCTCATATCTGGGCTATTTAAGGTACAAACTACTAGTGCCAAGGACAATCTTGGACAAGCCTTAACCATTTGACTGTCAACCCCAAATCCTGAGGCATCTCCTGGTGTTGCAAAAATTAAAAAAATATTTATTTTTTCTTATGAAATGACAGAGAATCTTCTCCCGATGGTAATGACACGAAAAGTACGAAATTTGATGGAAAACTTACGGAATTATGCTCTCGTGAAGTTAGCGACCTCAGCGATATTTACAAATCGGCAATTTCCCCCACTTTGACCCCAATTTTCGGCTAATTCCATTGTTCCAGTCAACCAAACTCGTAGCTTTCTTTAGAACCCCATTTATTCTATCGACCGAGTACAAGAAACTGCCCATTGACTGATTTCAACTACCCAATAGTGGTCAGAAATTGGCAATTTAGCCAATTTCACGAAAATTAAAAAATATGCCGATTTCAAAATAGGGTCCAGAATGAACAATGTAGACATTCCTGGCTCTAAAGTAACATTTTCTTTGTTCATCAGTCATCTCCAGGCTCCTCTGATGCTACTCTTGCTTTCTATTTTGAATTTTTATTCAGGAGGCCTGGTCACAGACCGGGCCGCGGGGGCGTTGACCCCCGAAACTCTCTCCAGGTAAACTCCAGGTAAACGAAAAATAGAAGATTTATTGTTATGCAGACTACTGCAATATTAATTTTATAAATAATGTCAACCCATTCATGACTGCATATTAGAATGGCTAGTTGGACATTGGATAATGACATCTGTTTACTTTTGAACACTGGCAAAAATCAAACATGTCCCCTACTTTGAGCTCCATTTCAAGGTTCTTTTCAAAGCAAAACCAATCAAAATCACCTCTATTTCTATAATATGTTTTCCATTCTATCAATTGAGACCAAGAAAATGAGAATACAACCATAAATACTATACAAAAATGGACCACAAAACCGGCGTTTTAATTAAAAAAAAAAACCCGGTCAGTTTTTTTTTTCTCACGCACTGAATGCTGCAGGATTTTTTTTATATGGTGCACACTGACTACACAGACCCATTCTCTCACATGTTGGACTACCAGCTTTCTTCTGCTCGATTTGAAGCCACTAGAATTTATGAGTATATATACGTCAAACACGATGGCTCCTAAGACGTGTATATATGACCGAAACAGTCAAAGAGTTAATTTACTTTCATTAAAAAATAGTTTCAAAAAAGGTCAAATTAAATGGTTATGCATCAGCACTGTAAAAGGGGTGAGTATTTTGAAATTAAAACAAGCATGCAAAGATGTTTAATATAAAAAGCAATCAACCATGAAATGTAGAACAGTAATTATTTAATGACCAATAAACAAGCAACAATATTTGGAACAGAGGAATGGTTGGATAAACAAATTACTGGGCTATATAACTTGTCAGTACAGTAGCAGCTTGCAAGTTTATGATTTTAGCAAAAGTTATTACATGTATTAGTAAATGCAAAATTAAATTATACAAGTGCAGAAACAACTTTCAAACAAAAACTTCTGGACAACTTTCACTGAACAGTATACCATTTACCATTTAAATCTTTTAAATGGGTAATTACGTGTCAATAAATACCACAAGTCGGCAATTATTTAAAGTGATGAGGGCATCATGTTATTTGGGATTATTCTACAACACCAAATTTATACAAGTGTATACATTACATCATGACAGGAACCTAGTAGCTAACCTGATCAAAAGAATATCAAAAACCAACTATTGTATTTTATCAAAATTGAATTCTAGCACAGGGGCACTTGAGAAAAAATTCTCAATTATTAAAGGTACTTAATCAAAAAAATATGCCAGTAATGGGGGGGAAAAAAAAAAAAGTACAGTGGGACCTCGGTATGCGACCTTAATTCATTCCAGAAGGCCGTTAGTGCCGCTCCGTTTGAGTATCAAAAGTTTTTTCCGAACTAATTTTCTGTTTGGTTGGCTGTTATCATTAATCGTCATAGGCCCCATGGTGAATAATTTATACAAATACAAAAAAAAACACCAAAAAAAAAATGCGAACACAAAATAGCTTACAGCAAAGTTCTGGTAAGTTATACTTGTTTAGTCGAGTGCTGAGCTGCACTCGAGTAGGGAGCTGGTCGTATACTAAGGTTTCACTGTACTATGATAATTCACCTAACAGCAGTAGACAAACCACCTTAATAAAAAAAAAAGTCAAACTGTGACCCAGCCAAGAGCATAGTTAATAAATTACCTTACAGGTTCTCAAAAAATTACAAATTTAAATTTACTGGCGCTTGAGGTTTCCGAGAATCAAAACTTTTATCCAGAGAAACTCCAGTTACTCCCACTCCCCCACAAAAATATCAAAATTAATCTCTAATATACAGTCATAATGATTTCTTACAGCATACACTGTTTTGGTGCATTCATAGAGTGAGCAGATTTATAAAAGTGTGATTTATAACAATTAGAAATATATTTACAAAAGTTAATCTTCAACCAATTTTAGATGAAATGGTATGTAAAGTTGGAGCAAAATGAAATTAATGCAGCACGGAAACTCAGTTTTATTTTCTTAAAGCTTTGAAAGCAAGTAAAATACTGTTATATACAGTAAAGTTTACATACTGCATTAAAGTTCTCATTCAAAGGCTAAAGCAAATTATAAAATAAAACCATCCTTTTATGTCAAAAATTTTGGGATCAATAAGTGCCACATCACTTAAAAATATTCATCTAATGTGATGAGATACATTTTCTGCCTAAACCAAATGCTCCTAATGTCATGTTTAGAATGTGTATATATCTACAAGAAACCACAAACAAATATTTCAGCCCTTTACACTAATCAACCACTATACTACTGAATGTCAGGTTCATGACAAAAATAAATTCTATAGCTGTCACACTAGCCAGGACACCATACACTGCTAAATTATAATAGTAATGACAAACATTACAGCACTATTTACTATATATTAAATTTAATTCTTTTTGCCTTCAGGCAGAAAGAATCAACTTCATGGGGGACAGATTAAACAAAGGAAAATAAATAGGCCAACAAAATTAGGAAGCGCTTTTGCAGTACTGATGTGGTGGTTAAAGTTTCAGACCCAGCTTCAACAGTGATCTACCAATAAAGCTTGGGGTAAAAGCAATTGTCAGAATCAAATTGGAACCTCATTAAGTATTAATGAAGTAAAGAGGTTTTATAAAACTGTCAATTCAACAGATGAACATAACCAAATTTCACAACACAGTACTAAGGTAGAATTTTATTCAAATCTTTCACACGTTCTTTAAATTAAAATACATTAAGCAAGGACGAACTGAGCACATTAACCGATTCATGATGCCTTCCATGAAATGGTAGATATATCTATTTTGGTGAAAGCTTACTCAACATTACATAATTTTAAATTACCTGTGAAGTGTCAAAGCTTTACCCACCATCACAATAGGTTAATTTCCAATTTCCAAGATACATTAGGTAAAGATTAGTAAGCTAAGTGAGGATCTGAAGGTTAGGCGAGGGTTTATTGGCTCAAACTGACCATCCCATCTAACCTTTTTTAGAAGACGTGTAGCAATCATGAAGACAACTAGAATCGGTCAAGTTCGGGCATCTATGATGTCACTGGGTGGAGTCAAAACAAAGCTGCATCAGCACTTATTTACTCAAATCCTTATTACATTATATGAATATCTCCATTGAATAAAAATACACAAAACCTTACTAAATATTACTAAAATACTGAATTTATATATAAATTATAGGACTTATCAGTGTATTGAAAGCAAGTTTAGACTTGAGTGCCTGATGTGTAATTTTTTCCCCTTTAATCACAGGAAACAGTTTTATAGAATGGTCAATACTTTTTTTTTTTTTTTTTTTTTTTTTTTGCAATACTGAATTACAATTAACTAAGCTAATGACTCAAAATCATAACACGACTGCAAACAAATCATGGTACTGGTAGGGTTTGAACCCATGGTAAGCACTAAAATTCACAGGTCAGTGGTTAACACAGTGGCCTGAGTTATAGAACTCACTCACCGTGTGTTCAAACCCTTTCCATTCCATGATCTGCAAACTAATTTTTGAACTAGAGGAGACATTAACCTTCCAATCCTGTTACTTCAATAAGTTTGCTTAGTCTGCATATAAATATATGGAGATTTGGGCATAAGGCATAACAGCAAATTAACACCTTCAAATACTACTGTGTTCATAACTTTTATAAATTTATGAAACTAGTTAAAAACATATTGACTGACCATATCAATTTCATGATTGCTAACAGATGCTTATGCTCATGCAAGGGAAGTCATTCATCCAATCATCCTAATAAAACAAGATTAATTTTTAACCCAAGGTTAGTTATCAAGTTTCCAGGGTTAATTTCCAATTTATTCAAGTTAAAATAACTATTGTCTGCCAACTTACAATTTATCCACCTTTAAACACTATGATGAAAGACCACAGGAACTATACTTACATTCTTGCAAGTGGTATAGCAAGAAGAGTAGGCAGGTGAATGTTCAATTTTCTGGCAGAAGACAACAGTAAACAAAACAAAACCTAATCTTTGCTATGTAAAAAGCTTAGTATGATAAGACATTAGCTTGGCACTTTCAACATTTCATCTTCACAGTAGACGGATAAAAAGCCACTTGCCACAGTTTTGTATCATACAAGGATACAAAAATAAGCATGGAAGTCACCTCAGTAGAAGACAATGGCAAGAGGGTACAAGAGGTCTTACAATCAGCAGTAGAGAGAACTGTTCCATAGTGATGAAGTCTTCAGATATAGAAGAATGAGAATCTCCAAGTGAACAGTATACAAAATGCAGGACCACCACAAACAACAAAAAAAGAACACTTGCAAGACCTGGGTGCAATAATTACGGGTGTGCCAAAGTATCAGTGGGTATCAGCTAATTTTGAGGGTATAGGCATCTGCCTAAAGATGAATCTATGTTGGCAAAAATGGTGGTATTGTCCCATCCATAGAAGTAATGTCAACAAACATGTCATAGTAAACAAGGTATATATTGCCAAAGCTAGAAAAATGTTGGATTTAATGATAACTTCCAAAACACATACTATTACTACCTAGAGACCTGGAGAGAGTTCCGGGAGTCAACGCCCCCGCGGCCCAGTCTGTGACCAGGCCTCCTGGTGGATCAGTAACACTGTAAATCACTTGTGCTCTCCTAGAGTATTGTTTTGGCGTTCAACTCCATCAGACAAAAATAAAAAAATTTTCTTTGCAAAGGTTACAACGTGTGATTACACTTTATAAATTAAGGATAAAGAAAGCTGCTGACAAGCCAGGGCATATCAGGCAGGATAGAGCCAAGTAGAATGAGAATTTAAAAGCCCACTGAACCAGTTAAACATTTAAACTACTGGAAATGCCTGAAAGTATTTAACATGTATTTAGAACAAAGGAGACGCACGACAACACAATATAGGGGGGAAATTATTGGATGGCCTGGTCCCAAATCTGCACACTATTATAATGTTCTTAAGTCAGAGGAATGAGAGGAATTGTAAATTAAACCCTGCAAGAAGCAGAAGCCCTTGGATAGCACTACCAATGTCAATGGACCCAGGCTATTCAACACTCCTGGGAGAAAAAAGTAGAAAAAAGTGAAGATCACTACCTCCACCCGTGTCGTCAACCAGGCTGCGATTGATATATGGGCCAGAGGGCAAAAAACAGTGGTTGGCTAAGCAACCACCAAAAAAGCCTGGCCTCAGGGGAGGCTGTGGGAGATTAAACTGATCACATCACAGAACCTATACCAAGCACATTTCAGGCATTTAAATGCCATTTAAACAATGTATATACTGTATGCTGAAAACAAGCTGCATACAAGACAGCTAAACAAAAATTTCAAAAAACACTTTTTAGCTACAGTACATTGATGTAGTCTATATACCATATTAAGCTTTATTACTGGCACAATTATTTCTTAAATTAACAATATATGTACCTCTTCAGTCAAGATCATGTAGTAAATCATGAACTAGCTCCAGTGGTAACTGAAGACATTTATTTTTGCCCCAAAAGTTTATTAAAGAATTTACATTTGTTTCATAGTCATATTTATAGAAATTTATTTTTAAGTGTACTATACAAACACTATAGGCCATTGTACAAATATAATGTATTTCAAGACATACAGTATGTACCTTAAAACTGTAAACATTTCACAAATGGCTTCTTCACCCCTGATTGAAACTTTTCAATTTCTAACTGTACACATGTTAACTACATACAGTGGACCCTTGGTTTTCAAGAGTCTCAGTTTTCATGAATTTTAGTTATCAGTAACTTTTTTCATCAAAATATAGCCTTGGTTTTCGTGATTTCCCCTGGATTTTGGCAGTCATATGGAAAGTGTCCCAGTGGTCCCGCGCACACAGAGCCTCCCACAGACGCAGTCAGTCAGTCTGGCATAGTTTCTCGGCGAGTGAACATCACCCCCCGCATTCATACGAAACATTTCGAAATAACCCATTGTTTTTGGTACTTGCAACTGCTAAATAAGCCACTATGGGCCCCATGGAGGAGGAAGAGGAAAATGTGCCTTCTTCAGTGATTCTACGATATGTACGATACTAAAGCAGGAGTCTATAAAGGCTATAGTGCCAGCCAGCGATAAAATGTAGCATTAATGGTATAGCAAGCAAGTTAAGTGATTAAGCGATAGAAAAAGGACAACATGAAACTTAACTCCTCCAATGTTATTGGAGGTATATAGCGCCACTGACAACACCGCCGCTGCCGCCACCACCACTATTCGGCTTATGCTGCCAGTGGCCCTGATAACCCCCCACCACCATTCCTCACATACGTAATGACATTTTATTCATTCTAGAGTATATATTATATTTATGTTATTAATATTGTTTATGTCATATTAGATGAATTGTGATGGATAAATAAACAAGAGTTGATATCAGCGTCATATTCAAGCATTTGTCCTGTCTCTAAACAAACTCACCTCCCTCTCCCTTCCTCCCTGTCTTCCACACACCAACACGAGTCTTCAATAAAGGTAAGTGATATTAAATATTCATTTATAATAAATTATAATAAAATGTACATCTTTATTTACAACAAGTACAAGGTAGTATACGTAGTCCTAGCTGACGTTAATGATGTACTACATGTATATAGACAGCCACTCGTTATGCAGAGGATTTCAGGCAAATTAGGTGTCTTGTCCCAGGATGTGACCCACACGTCGACTGACACCCAGGTACCCATTTTACTGATGGGTGAACAGACAACCAGTGCAAAGAAACGCACCCAAAGTTTCTACCCTCGCCGGGAATCGAACACTGACCCTCACCGTGTAAATCTATATTTAATCTCAAAAAAAAAAAAAAAAAAATCCTAATACATGTACTGTTGGGTGTCTGGAACGGATTAATTGGATTTACATTCTTATGGGGAAAATGGTTTTGGTTTTTTTCGTGAATTTTGGTTTTCAGCAGGAAATAACCTGCTTGACTTGGTTCCTGCCAGCAGTGAATCGCTAATTAATAATCTTGAGGTTAATGATGAGCTTGAGGAAAGTGATCACAAATCACTCAGTTTTAATATATCATGGAATTACCCTAATAATGATAATAGTCTCTACCCGACTTCCGCTTGGCTGATTTCATAGGAGTGAGACATTACCTGGGTGGGCTGAACTGGAATGACCTGACTATGGGTCAGGTAGGTGGTGATGGTTGCCAATGATGTTTTCCAGAGCATAGTTCTAGATGCTCAGACAACTTATGTTCCAAATAGGGAAATCAGATCAAAAAAATGATTCTAAATGGATGAACAAGATTAAATGTCATTAGTCAAAAGAGGCGCATATATAGGCGAATCAAAAGAGGGGCAGTTAAGAAATCAGTATTTTCAGTTAGAAATAAAAGGAACTATAAAAGCAAACATTAGGAGGTTAAAGTTGCAAGAGAATCAAAGAGACTAACCCAAAAGGATTCTTTCAGGTATACAGAAGTAAGATTAGGGACAAGATAGGCCCACTCAAAGTTACTCGGGTTAGCTCACAATCAGTGATAAGGAAACTTGTAGAATTTTTAACACTTACTTCCTCTCAGTTTTTACACAGGAAGATACTAGTGATATTCCAAAAAATAATAAATTATGCAGAACAGGTTGATAAACTATGCACGATTAGGGTCACAAGTGACATGGTCCTTAGACAAATAGATAAATTAAAACCAAAGAAATCCCCAGGCCCTGATGAACCGTACGCAAGGGTCCTACAGGAATGTAAAGTGGAGCTTAGCAAACCTTTTGCAAATTTTTTCAACATATCACTACAAACTCAGTGCCAGATAAGTGGAAAATGGCAAATGCAATACCTATTTTCAAAGAAAGTGACAAGTGCTTGGCTTCAAACTATAGACCAATAAGCCTAACCTCCATAGTGGGTAAATTTATGGAATCAATAATTGCCGAGGCAATTCGTAGCTATCTTGAAAAGTATAAATTGATCAAAGACTCTCAGGAATGTTTTACAAAGGAGCGTTCCCATCTTACGAATTTGTTGACTTTTTTCAATAAGGTATTTGAGGAGGTAGATTATGGTAATGAATATGATATTGTGCATATGGGCTTCAGTAAGGTTTTTGATAGTCCCATAGAGGCATGATTGACAAATAGGTAGCCGTTTGTTTGCATAAATGGGGAGAAATCAGAGTGGGAAAGGGTCACGAGCAGTGTTTCACAGGGGTCAGTGTTGGGCCCCTTGTTGTTCACAATCTACATAAAACAGATGAGGGAATAGATAGCGACATAAGTTTGCTGATGACACCAAAATAGACCATCCAATTAATTCTGGCGAGGACATAAGAGCACTCCAGGATCATTTGAATACACTGATGCAGTGGCTGGAGAAGTGGCAGATGCAGTCTGATACAGGCAAATGCAAAGTTCTAAACATTGGACAGGAAAATAACCGTGCTACATATAATTTAAATGTAGATCTTAATATTACTGATTGCAAAAAAATTTGGGAGTTCTGGTTAACAGTAATCTAAAACCAAAACAGTGCATAAATGTTCACAATAGAGAACAATCCTTGGCTTCATACCAAGAAGCACAAATAATAGGAGTCCTCAGGTTGTTCAACTCTATATATCCTTGGTTAGGCTTCATCTAGATTATGCTGCAAAGTTTTAGTCAAAATATTACAGAACGGATATAAATGCTCTGGAAAATGTACAAAGCAGGATGACAAAGCTGATCCCATCCATCAGAAATCTTCCCTATGAAGATAGACAGAGCCCTGAATCTGCACTCTAGAAAGGCATAGAATTAGGAGGGATATGACCGAGGTGTATAAATGGAAAACAGGAATAAATTAAGGGGATGTAAATAGTGTACTAAAAGTATCTAGCTTAAACAGAACTCGCAGCAATGGCTTTAAGTTGGAAAAATTCAGATTCAGGAAGAATATAGGAAAGCACCGGTTTGGTAATAGAGTTGTGGATGAGTGGAACAAACTTCAAAGTACAGTTATAAAGACTAAAACATTGTGTAGTTTTAAAAATAGGTTAGATAAATACACGAGTGGATGCAAGTTAGACTCCACTAGCTTTTGCTACTAGGTCAGATGCTGTGCTCCTTAAGTGAATGTGACCCGACCTGACTAGGTTAAGGCATTGGCTTAAGCCGGTGGGAGACCTGAACCTGCCTTGCATGGGCCAGTAGGCCTGCTGCAGTGTTCGTGTTAAAAACCAAGGGTCCACTACTGTATCATCACACCTCCCAGCTAGTAAAATCACCGTCTACCACTTTTAACAACTTCAAATTACCATTACCTAGAAACTTAAATTGCAATTGTTTGGAGAGAGCAACTTGCTAAAATCTAAGGCTGGCTAAAGTTTTAAATAGCCAAACCCCACCTCCAGAGGTAACCATAATTAAAAAGAGGGTGGCCCCCTCCCCCCCCAGGCAAAACTATAAAAAGAATATTTTTCAAATAAATATGCATTCAGTTTAAACAAACTTATCAAAGGCTAGCTTCACCGCATTCTAACCAAGAAATCTAAATCTTGTTTTAACCTTTAACCATATCAATGCTATAACTTTTCTTTACCATCATGCAAATGACCATAAAAATTTTTTTTAGCAGAGTACAGAGTACAAAACAAATTCTGGCCACAAAATAGAGCGAAACGCCAACGTCAAAGACCTGGGAGTGATCATGTCGGAGGATCTCACCTTCAAGGACCATAACATTGTATAAATCACATCTGCTAGAAAAATGACAGGATGGATAATGAGAACCTTCAAAACTAGGGAGGCCAAGCCCATGATGACACTCTTCAGGTCACTTGTTCTATCTAGGCTGGAATATTGCTGCACACTAACAGCACCTTTCAAGGCAGGTGAAATTGCCGACCTAGAAAATGTACAGAGAACTTTCACGGCACGCATAACGGAGATAAAACACCTCAATTATTGGGAGCGCTTGAGGTTCCTAAACCTGTATTCCCTGGAACGCAGGAGGGAGAGATACACGATTATATACACCTGGAAAATCCTAGAGGGACTAGTACCGAACTTGCACACGAAAATCACTCACTATGAAAGCAAAAGACTTGGCAGACGATGCTCCATCCCCCCAATGAAAAGCAGGGGTGTCACTAGCACGTTAAGGGACCATACAATAAGTGTCAGGGGCCCGAGACTGTTCAACTGCCTCCCAGCACACATAAGGGGGATTACCAACAGACCCCTGGCAGTCTTCAAGCTGGCACTGGACAAGCACCTAAAGTCAGTTCCGGATCAGCCGGGCTGTGGCTCGTACGTTGGTTTGCGTGCAGCCAGCAGCAACAGCCTGGTTGATCAGGCTCTGATCCACCAGGAGGCCTGGTCACAGACCGGGCCGCGGGGGCGCTGACCCTCGGAACTCTCTCCAGGTAAACTCCAGGTAAACATTAATTAAAGATTATACCCACTCAAGAGCCCAATTAGGTACTGTAGTCCCATCTGGCATATACAGAGTGGCATATCCCTACTTACCACTCCTTCAGGTTTCACATATATGACCAATAATACCCCATTCAAGTTTTGTACCATAAAAATTTATGACAGTACAATTACAAATTGAAGTTCCATAGAGTGAAATACAAAATATGGAAGTCAGTTAATTTATCACTTGTGTTCAGCAATTTTTTCCCTTGGTAATGAATTTTAATCAAAATGATGTAAATAACAATGTGCACTAAAAATATACTGAAGTGACAAACACCTATATACTGTAATTTTTTTTTCAACAATTTTCCAAACAAGCCAAACTACCCTAAAATAAAAACTTATTCTTATGCACCAACATTTGTGAATTAACACAGTATGTAACATTTAGGTTTTGCACTAAAACATCTCAGCCTTACAACCTTCCTAGGATTAACATTAGAGTAATATTTAGCTTAATTTTACCTTGAACACCTTTTGCCAGACAAACTAATTTATTACATTGCTGACCTGGAGAGAATACAAAGGACTTTCATGGCACAAGCAAGTATGATAAGGCCCCTAAATTACTGGGAACAGTTTCAGTCCCTCAATTTGTATTCCCTGAAATGCAGGCAAGAGAGGGATGCATGATAGTATACACTTGGAAAATCCTAGAGGGATTAGTACCCAACTTATACACGAAAATCACTCCCTACAAAAGCAAAAGACTGAGGGAGATGCAACATTCCCCCAATGAAAAGTAGGGGTGCCACAAGTACCCTGAGACAACACATTAAGTGTCAGGGGCCCAAAACTATTCAACTGCCTCCCAGCATACATAAGGGGGATTACCAATAGACCCCTGGCTGTCTTCAAGAATGCACTGGACAGGCACCTAAATTCAGTACCTGACCAGCCAGGCTGTGGTTTGTATGCCAGTTTGCATGCGGCCAGTAGTAACAACCTGGTTGAACATACCCTGATCCACAACAAAGCCTGGTCTCAGACCGAGCCATGGGGGTGTGGCCCCCGAAATCCTCTCCAGGTATATGTAAGAGCTGATTTGAAAGGATCACAGTGTACTGCATTAAAAGAAACTGCTTAATAAGCATATTTACATGGTAGAGCATACTACTACTCAACCATAAAGGCCTGGATCAAATTCTCACGAGGTAATCCACATGGGAAGCGCGTCTACCCATTACTGGTTTGCCTAATATTAAACGGGTACCTAGCAGTTAGTATAATTTTAGTTCATATTCAAATAGAAGTGCTCTAAGAAAAACTAAGCAGTGTCATTTGGTTTTCTCATTATAACCAAGCCCATGGTCTGGTCGAAAAAGTTCTCGCTTCACACGGACCCTGTTGAGGGTCCGTGGTTTGATTCCCGGCAAGGGTGGAATCATGGGTGTGTTTCCTTACACCTGTTGTCCCTGTTCACCCATCAGTAAAATGAGTACACCTGAGTGTTAGGAGACTAGTGTGGGTTGCATCCTGGGGACAAAATTTACCTAATTTATCCTGAAATGCTCTGCATAAAAATGGGCTTTCTATATACTAGTAGTATGTCATTGATGTCAGCTTGGTCTGTATACCTTGTACATGTATATACTTGTAGAAATAAAGATTATGATTTATAAGTAGATAGTTTTTTAAAAAGTGCCATGTTAAAACCTGTGATCAAAATACTATTTAGTAAAACTGATCTTCACTGATTAAATTATGGTAATTTTACGTAAACTCCCCAAAATATTTTTATATGAAGACCGATCCCCCATCCAGGAGGGGGGGGGGGTTAAAGTGCAATATGTCTGCAGTCTCTTGCATAAAATTTTAACAAACACTGGTAATAACCGAATTTTTTCCTACACTCAATACTAGTGTAGATGAAATACGGTCTTAAATTTAAATGGTGCAATATATTAAGAGAAAAAAAAAAGTATCCTGAAATGACCTATTTTAATCTCTTCTTACTGTTGTCAAGTTCACCTATTATAGCAAACACTGTTGGAAAATTGTGTGGTAGAAACTAAGTTACAAAGTTTAAAGGGTATTTATGAGTTTTGTAATGTTATGAGTGAGTTACCATAGTGGCGGATGTGACGTCTTGCCTCACGCCTCACCTTCCTTATACCCTCCACACACACTTATTTCCTCAAATACACCTTAAATACTACTTGGTAGAATGTATACGAGGGCGGGGTGGGCGTGCGGGCGTGGGGGGCAGGTGTGCACACGCCTGCGCCGCCGCACGCCCATAGTACCTCATTATGATCTCACTGCCATAACCCATCACCACTACCATATACCACACACTACACTACCAATACCACCTTAAACAACCTCTCCATTACCTGCAAAGTCCTCCAGGATCAAGAGAAAATTCCAGAATCACTGACAAAATACACCATACACTTACTTCAGCCGTCAATTCTCATTTGATGTTTTCCCAGATATAAAAACCCCATCTACGGTCACAAGCGAGCTGTAGAGGTGCACATAGGCGCCCAGAAACCGATCTCGGGCCGGGAGCTTACCTTATTAATTCTTTTTAGTGCCATAACTGTGTGTAAATGTGGGGTTTGAGGAGAGACTGTGGCCTTGCCTCACACTGCACCAAGATGGTAGATGGCGGCCACCACGCGGAGGAATACACTCTCTCTCAACCACCACATTAACCAACAACCACATATCTAACTACCACCTTTTCTAATGCCTTGCTAACCACGGTTGTGTGTAATGCGACTCCACCGTTACGGTGGAAAGTTCAGCCTTCCGGGGGAGAGTCCAGGGGAGGAGGGAAAAAGGAAATTTTGTGTGTTGGGGACTACTTTGTTGAAGGCTGGCGGCAGCTATCTCAGCTGACGATATCATTTCCTGTGAAAATTAACTCCAGCAGCAATGAATGATTCACTGCCACACGACTACTCCACTTTTTTAATATTTCCCCACTCTCTACCCTCAGTCTGGGACTTTTACTTGGGTGCTGTTAAGCTATTATGGCGGGCATGACAAGAATATACTGTGAGGGATTTTTAAGGATAATTATGTCATGGCAGAGCGGCAAGTTTAAATAACCAGTGACGTCTTGTGACGTCATTATTCCCACTAGTAAGACCTTCACTCAATCATTAATACTACTCTCACGTTACTCTCACATACCCACCGTTCACACAATATACCTGTGTTATCCTACACGCGTTCCTTCTTAAATAAAACTTATTTACAATGTTCCTTCCGGGTGTCTAGCGTCTTGCACCACCACTGATGCAATAATATATATATTTTTTCTTACACCTATTGTCCCTCTTAACTTAGAAGGCAAATGTAGGTGTCTGGGTGTTAGTCGACTGTTGTGACTCACATTGTATGTGTGTGGGGGGTGAAATGTTATGTAAATCTGCCAGGAACTTCAGTTCTGTTGGAAATATTGACTATTAACATTGTTGGGTGCCAAGGCTGTGTGCGGCTACCTTGATCTATGTGACTTTTACAAGGTTAAAGTAGCTGCTATGTTTGCTTGCACTCCTTCACATAGCATGGTTTGTCATACTCCATCACATAACATGGTTTAATTGTCATGCTGCATCACATAGCATGGTTTTATTGTCATATCCTATAACATAGCATGGTTTGTCATATCCCATTACGTAACTCGGTTTTATTGTCATACTGCATCACATAGCTTGGTTGTCATACTGCATCACATAGCATGGTTTGTCATACTGCATCACATAGCATGGTTTGTCATACTCCATCACATAACATGGTTTAATTGTCATTCTGCATCACATAGCATGGTTTTATTGTCATCCAACAATGTGGTTTAATTGTCTCATGCATGCATCACATAGCATGGTTTGTCATACTGCATCACATAGCATGGTTTAATTGTCATGCTGCATCACATAGCATGGTTTGTCATACTCCATCACAAACATGGTTTAATTGTCATGCTGCATCACATAGCATGGTTTTATTGACATATCCTATAACATAGCATGGTTTGTCATATCCCATTACGTAACACGGTTTTATTGTCATACTGCATCACATACTCACCTAGTTGTGGTTGCAGGGGTCGATTCACAGCTCCTGGCCCCGCCTCTTCACTGGTGCTACTTAGTCACTCCTCCCGCTCCATGAGCTTTATCATACCTCATACACACTACATACATTGCATGCTTTTGTCATATTCTATTACATAACATGGTTTTATTGTTATACTACATCACATAGGATGCCGTTATCCTATTTCATTACATACTAGTTTTTTCTTGTCAATGTCTATCATGTATGGGTATTTTCATACTCTATCACAAATAATGGTTTCATTGACATAATCCATCACACATGATTTTCCTGCCATACTCCACCATGGGATGGTTTTATTATATTATTAGATCAAGGTTATAATACAGACAGCAATGCTCGGGTATTAACCCCGAGGGTCATTAACCCAGGATAACTCAATAAATTAAATATCATCAGATTGCCTTATTTCTGCTAGGATTCTTTAATTCTCTTCCCCAGGATGCGACCCACAACAGTCGGCTAATACCCAGTTACCTGTTTATTACTAAGTGAATAAGGACAGCTGATGTAAGGAAACACGCCCGTCTCTACTCCTCATGGGACCGAACCCTGGTTCCTCATTGTGTGAGCTGAGTCAGCTACCAGTTGAGCCACGAGCACTCGACCAATTACTGATAAAAGAACATGTGTAACACCTGGGTATGTTCGTTGAGAGACGATTCACTTGAATAAAAGAAACACTACCTGTTTATAAATTCAAGTCTCTTCTCAAAGTTCACTTACTCACTCAAAACCAAATAAATACTGAATAACTGAACCATATAAATTGTATATCGTAAATGTTACTCACAATTATATCACACAAATGGTAAACCCAACTTTGTTATTTTTTTAAATACACTACCTAACAGAATACTCCATTCTACTGAATGAACAGCAATGCATGCAACCATATGACCTGTCTTTGTAATACTCATTTGTATTTTATAGTTATCTGTTTACAATAATGTCTTATCACTGATTTCATCATTGCTTAGTTAATCTTAAGTTAATTTTAAGCCAGCCCGTAATGCTATGCATATAAGTGGCTTTGGCATGCTGCTCTTACCTGTATTTTTTGTACCTCTGTTTGTATGCTAAAATTTCTAAATAAATAAATAAATAAATAAATAAATAAATAAATAAAATGCTTTATCAATCTAATATGGCGGAGCATGATGGCGGAGGACCCCGTGGAATATGTGGTAAGATGCAGCAGTTGAAGACGTGGTCATATGTAGGCGGGGCCCACTAGTGGGAGTAGGTCACGTTCATAAGTTCAGCTCCAGTATAAAAGGCTCTGTCCTCTGTACTAGACTGACTAAGTCTGCTGTGCTGGCGAAATATCCTTTATTCAATGACACTCAAGTGTTACAGTCAAGGGTTTCCCACAACACTGCATCACAAAGGATGACTTTCCTGCCATACTCCCTCACAAGGTCATTGTCCTAAATTCCCTACTTATGTAATAAATTAATGGAAGCTATGAAGAACAAAATTCACAATTTTGTGGTCGGAATAATTTATAACTCACGAACTGAAGGTAAATTTAGAAGACGTTTCGGAACTTTGACTCGTGACATGATAATGGTCCAAGAAAGACCGAAATGCTGTCTAGTTTTATCACTAGAACAAATTGGGTGAAAAAAAAAAAGATAAAAGGGATAGGAGTTTGAATGAGGATATAATATATATATATATATATATATATATATATATATATATATATATATATATATATATATATATATATATATATATATATATATATACACTTCAGTTCACTTCTGACCTCAGTTCGCTCCTGACCTCAGTTCATTTCTGACCTCTGGCTGCTCTTGACCTCAGTTCGCTCCTGATCTCAGTTCGCTCCTGACCTCTGACCTCAGTTCATTCCTGACCTCTGGCTGCTCTTGACCTCAGTTCGCTCCTGACCTCAGTTCGCGCCTGATGTTACTTATATCCTACACGGTCCTGACTTCTATTTTGTGAATACATGCTGAGTGTTAGCTGAATGTTAGGCAACGGTGTTTTGCCAGTGTCAGGAACAACTCTCTCGCCTCTCACACTGAATGTTCGTGATTCGATCCCCGACGCAGGTGGAAATGCTGGTCGTGTTTCCTTACTCCTGTTGTCCCTGTTCACTTAGCAGTAAGTAGGTACCTGGGTGTTAGTCGACTGGTGTGGCTGTCATCCTGGAGACAAGATTGAAGGACACCAGTGGAAATAAGACAGTCCTTGATGATGCATCGACTTTCTTGGGTTATCCTGGATGGGTAACCCTCTGGGGTTAGCCATCCAGGATAACCCAAGAATTATCTTAGTAAAGGAAGTAGGAGGGATATATGTGTCTGAAAGACGACGAGAATTTCATGTGAACAATGAAGAGTTGTAAAATAGTTATAATTATAATGCAGCCAAGAAAAGCCAAGTTAGTTTAACATGTTTATTATGCACACCATACCATCCTGTGGGCGGTAGTCAATAGATTACAAAGGTACATAATGTTGGTCCAGGGACTGGGCCCCAAAGTTTTGATAGCAGAGCAAGTTACAAAGGTAATGAACTCCAAGGCAAACAGAAATCAGACCTATGCAAATTATATGCATTAAGTATCTGCAGGTAATGAATATCTGGAAAAACAGATGGGAAGTGAAACTTTGACCACCCCAGAAAATGTCGTGCCCCTATTTCAACAGGAAAATTCAACATTTCTTCCTGTAAGCTTTTGCACCCTGAAATGTCACTCTTCAGTTCAGGAAAGACAGTGCTATAACTTTTATTGCCAGGCACACCATCTAAAGGGGACAAGAAGACACAGAACATCCAGATCATGTGAAAACCTGGGTAGCCACAGCCACTCCAGGGAGAGAGGTTTTTTCAGAGCCAGCAGGAAATGGCAGAAATCGTACACCAACTCGGATCATTTCTGGAGTGGAATCAGAGCCAATGGCCTCCACTCCAAAACAACAGATATTAGCGCCAGGAAAAAGTACCCCCACACATACCACCAGTACCACCAATACAACATTCATCTTGGCAAATATACAGAGTCTAAAACCAGCAACGAACAACAAAATACCTTTCATCCGTGGACTGCTTGCAGAGTCAAACGCAATGTTCCCAGTGTTCACAGAGACCCACAAAAAGGATCACCTTGACAATGAAATATGGATCCCGGGTTTATAACCTATGCAAATGTGAAGAGTGAAACAGGCAAGAGGGAGAGGTTGGCCTGTACGTCACAGACTAGCTGATATGCTCGGAACTACTAAATGCCTCTAATGATGTAGTTGAAGTTTTGGCAGTAAAGATGGAGAACCGAAACCTAGTCATTGTGGTTGTATACAAGACTCCGGATGCAACTTCCCCACAATTCCAGGAACAGCTTTTGAAAATAGACCGTTATCTGGAAAATCTTCTAGCTCTTGACCCAACATCTTGCTCCTGAGGGATTTCAACCTAAGGCACCTAAAATGGAGGAGTGTAGCAAATAATGCTGTAGCAGAGATAACCCCAGGAAGCAGCTCAGAAGAAAACTCGCACCCACACAAGCTTTTAAATTTCTGAACCAAATTTACCTTAAACCGGCAAATAAAAGAGCCTACAAG